GGAACAGAGAGGTTGTTAAAGAAGCACGTAAAGGGAATAAATATAACAGTAACAAGCAAGACTTACCACTGTGCCAAGAATCGGTAAAAATATAGTTGCCGTTGCAACGTTGGACGTCACTTCAGTAAATGCGCACGTCATCAAGGATACAATCAAGACTATGCCGAAGTCAGGAATCGAAGCAAGAATTCTCAATTGATAACCAAGCCATAACGATAAACCAGATTTCTATCAAAGCAACGATAAAGTTTCTTTCAGGTTATGTCTGATTGCAGTAAAGTTTGAGACTCAACATTAATGAAAAACAAAAGGTTGACGATGGTTAAAGAAGAAGAAGAAGAAGAAGAAGAAGAAGAAGAAGAAGAAGAAGAAGAAGAAGAAGAAGAAGAAGAAGAAGAAGAAGAAGAAGAAGAAGAAGACTAACGGAACTAATTCGTATTCTTTCGAAAGCCCTATTTTATGAGTGACATGCAGGAATATTTACCAACCTTCGCAGCTTCAGCAAGAGCAAATCCACCACCCAACAGAAAAACTACGTTCCAAGGCATCTTTTGGGCAGCAACTTTCCATGTCAGAACTGGCGGTGGGGGCTTCGTTACTACAAAAGTATCAGTGCTTACTATTTACTCAGAAACCTGTTCTCAGCAAAACAGAACATAGCAAAAAACAAAACGATTGAAAGGAAAAATCCAAAAAATAAAAGATATTAAAACAAAATTACAGCGTGACGTAACTAATGGTGGTCACCCAAGCAAAGTTTCGTGCAAGTTGATTTTTGCTCATAAAACTCTTGATGAAGCTATGAGAGAAGGTTATTGATTCACCGAATRAATTTAAACGAACGTTGAAGCGTCCAAGGTGTTTGAAAAAAAGTGCGATGAATATATATTCGATAAACTAGCAGCGTTTAAACTAGTAAACAAAGTTACTGACATAACCAAGGTAAGGCAGGCCATGTTGTAATAGTCCTAACAAAAAGTAAACCTTKTTATTATAATTTACCTTTTCCGTCAGGATTCCAACARAATATCTTTGGTTTTTCAGAAGGAAAAATGAACAACGAAAACGCGATTAACAAAGCTGCTGTGGCATCTCGTGCATAACTGAAAACATGAATAATAATAATAATTAATAAGATWAATAATAAGTGACGATTACAATTGATATGAATATTGATCTCACCCCTTTTCGAAGGCAATGGCCCAACCGGGCATAAATTTCGGGTCTCTTAATAACCACAGAAGGGCCAAGATCACAAAATGGCAAAGGACTACAATCTCSGCAAACCTGTAAACATTATAGGGGGTAAGTAAGGGTATTGAAATTAAAGCTTATATCACAGCTAAATTGTTACCATTGAGCTTCACCATAAAGCATTATTTGAACAGACTTGAACTGATATTGTATTCAGTTTCAAAATGAAACTCGTACCAAAGCAGTACTTACGTCATAGGTCCCATTGCCTTGTATTGATTACGTAATGTTCTATTAATAGCTTCGGCTTGTCTCCTGTCTTTTTCCTTGCCTTGGCTCTTGCATCTGATATAGAGAAACAAAAAGGACAATAGTTTTATGGCCATGGAAGATTGGAAATGTATACTGCCAGTAGATCGGATTAAGTACGTCGATTTGTGCCTCGATGCCTGTATCGTCTGCTGACCATCACTCTCATTTSCAGATCTCTTCGCCATGCGTATTGGACGCGTTGTGTCAGGCTTTGTTTCGTCATGCTTCATATGACTCTTGGACTCTAATTTCCATTTGATTTTGAATCACTTTGAATTGCAAGCATTTCCACTTAGTAAAATTTCAAAATATGGTCGAATATCCCAGACGTATTGAATCTATAAATTTCCAGCTGCGTGTATACTATGTTTACAATTCACCTGTACTTACTTGAAGCATCCCAAAAAGAAAAATTGTAACCACAACCATGCTACTATTAGCAACAGAAGCATCTCAGGAAAGGCATAGCTGAACCATTGTGCAAAGCCAATATTTGGACTGTTTGGGAATATACTGGAATACAGAATAAATACACAGATAGCAGTTAGAAAGCGGTTTTTGTGGAATGATTAAAATATAAACTTTGTTAGGCGATGCATTAAGAACTATAATGGTTTGAGATACATGTTACTACTATGTAATGCTATAAAGTAGAGTCAGTGAAAGTTGGTGAGCCCAGGCATTTCATACCAGAGGTGGCTCAGACGCATGCGGAAGTTCGAAGTAATGAAAAAACTCAGCTGGCGGACAGAGACCTACACAATCTAGACACATACGAGCCGGAGGTCACTTACAGTTGCAGCAACAGGCCCAGGCCCGGGGCAACAGGCACAGCAGAATATTAAGAAGCAAGAGCCACAGGAAAAAATCGCGCGCTTTAAAGGTTGTAAATTTGATGAAAATATGATGTAAGTGTCCAAAATTCTGTAAATTTGATGTGAATGAAGTCCAATTGAACAATTGAAAGCCATGCAGAAAAATTGGTTCCCTGTGTATTGCCATACCTTTGTTGTTGTCCATTAAATACGAGATTAGTTCCAGTCCCCGTTATAGTCGCCGTTCCACCAACATTAGCAGCATAAGCAATGCACAAGACAAGCGCTTTGTGCATGCGTGTAAAGAACTGATTGTCGTCTTCATCCTCCTTAAACAAGAATAAGAAAACGTGACAATTGTTTTACTTAAAATGAGCATAGTTGGAGATCTAGACAGGATGTTTCCTTAAGCCTTAGATAACCAGTATTAAAGATAAAACAACAACAACAACAACAACAACAACAACAACAACAACAACAACAACAACAACAACAACAACAACAAAACATCAGCTGCTCAACTTGCTTGCGGAAGAAAGCTGCATTCATTTTTTACCTTATCGTCATCTGTATTCTTTTCCTCATTCAGTAAGTTCCTTAAGGTAAATCAAAGAAATCATGAATTGTTTGCCAAGATCAAAATGATATACAAAATAAACCAAACAAGAGAGATCGATTGGAATCAGGGGGTATTTTGAATGTGACGAATTTGGATACGCCCTATCGTATGTAGAAGCACTGTGTTATCATCGGCTTGTGAAATGGCTCTACAATTGGCTTGATCATGAACAAAGAATAGAAAAAGAGAAAAAATGTGAATTGCTTACCCTTGTGATTCAATCTTARTTGAAACTTCCATTGCATCGTTCTCAGTCTCCTTTTCGGAAGTTTTTCCTTCATCTTTAACTRCAGCACTTTCATTACCATTTGATGGACTATTTTGCAAAGTTAGTTCCATTTCAGCATCGCTAAGTGTACCCTCGACGTTGTCCAGATGTTCTGCTTTAAGTTCTTGAAGGACTGCCTCTGCTATMGGAACCATCATTGCCGTTGTAGCAGTGTTGCTAATCCACATGGATARAAAAGCAGTGATGGACATAAAACCAAGCATTAGCCTAAAACAAAACAATCATAAATTTTGTCYCATCGAAACAAGAAACAGAAAAAAAGAACAAGAAGAAAGACCAAGGATAGCCGGTACGTTTTGTAGAAAAAAAAAACCTAAAAAAGTCTAACGGAGTATTGTTATCTTCTGCAACTCATTTGAAGGCGACTCAGTATTATTACTGAGCTATTTTATGAATTAGCAAACTGACTTGAGTCTTCGCTGTGACCTCTAAAAAAARTATTAAGAGTTATCTTTAAAACATTATAACAATTCACGGTTTTCCATACACAGGCTCAGTGACCACGAACAAAGCATTGAACCGAGACGCGTCAAGGAACACTCATCACAGATCTTTTCTTTTATGTTCGTACCTTGATGCCTCGGTTCAATGCATTGTTCGTGGTCACTGAAACTGCGTATGGAAAGTCTCGAATAGCGTTAGTGTATTTTGGTAAACACGCCAGGGAAATAACTCAATCTCAGTGGGTGCAATATCAAAGGTTAGTATCTCATTGGATCGTTTTTTTTTTCATTGTTGTTCGTGGGGCTGTACATCTCATATTTCCCTGAAATTACGAATTCGATGTCTGGTTAAACCCGGCCTATATACAGCCATGGTATGATGGGCCTCCGGCAACACTTAGGAAATTTGACTTAGACTTTGTTTCCGAGATCAATTACAGAGTACCGACCTAGCTGAAAAAGTATATTAATAAATTTCCCTGATGGACCGTCGTACTTCTAAACTCAATTTTCCCGTCTTAGGCAACTGTGATAATCGATGATAGGAAATGAACAACAAAAAAATGCTTTTCTCTGTTGATGTTGAAGTTAAAGTCCGTTGAGCAGAACTGAAAAACAAATTCTAAAAATCTTCGTTCTGGGAATTCAGAAACAATGATCGGATTGCCAATACTATTTTGCCTATTGTTTTTCTTTGAAAACCTTTTCAATAATTACACAATAATTAAAATGCTCAGTTACCTTCTTGGTTTTGATCCCACTAGCAGTAAAACTCTTAGAGCAATCCTTTTRTGCAGATTACAGTTCTCTATGGCCACTGCTACAATCAATCCACCAACGAACAAAGCCGTGGTATCTTTGAAGTAGGGCGGACTTATTTCTTTTGAGCCTACGACTCCAAGCATTGGGAAGAGMACCAAAGGCAAGAGAGCCGTGACAGCTAGGGGGACAACTTCCGTGACCCAATATACAGCCATGATCAAGATAGCATAGGCACATTTTGACTCCTATAACGCATTRACAATTTCTAAATTGAGGCTAACCTAATTGCATTTGAGATTAATGAAATCATCTTKGGAATTATTAACTTTTGACCGAATCCGAAATATCTGAAAGACTGTCGGCAATGTCGAGACAACGGTTTAGACAATATTTACCAAAAGCAGATCCAATCCATGGATGTATACCTCAATAATAATTGTAATATCAAGTAATATAGGTCCGAATTCTTCCGGTTACGGCTTTCTTGGCGCCATTTCAATCGAAAGTTGAGCTGATTTAACTATGCATTAGCCAAACTTTTTAAGTCAAACGTTCACCCAAGAAAAAAGCAATTAGCTCCCTATTAGGACTATTACTCTCTTTGAACCTGATCATAAGTGAAAAAATACCTGACATGCTATGACCACAAAATTGTTTAGTTCAGTATATGTCCGGCCCTTCGAGCTGTCACACGCGGTCAACAAGGCGACCAAGACTTGACTAAGAGTTTTCGATCAATTAACTGCTTGTTTACTCTAGCATATCATACTAAGGCCATGATTTAGATCAGCTTGATGAATAGTAATTAAGGTTAATTCATTAACTTGTCTTACCTTACTAGGAATGATTACAGGCAATGGTAGAAGAAGTAATGGCGTAAGGAGTAAAATAATGTAACGACGCCATTTAAACAGCTTCTTGAATAACAATCTAGACGCCATTGTAGTAATTCAATGTAGACGAGGTCAGTGATGATACGGATATGTGACTTGTGCAGTAGTGTGTAAATGAAAGGACARTGGGGGAGGTGGAAGGGAGTTTGTGTCAAAGATTAATCCCGTACCTCAAGAATCAGTAAGTAAAATGGTGGTGATCGCACAACTTCTTTATTGAAACTTAAATTTTAAGTTTTAGGGAGTATCAAGAAAAATTCATAATTTGTCTGCAAAAAGATGAATATATAAGGTTTAAGCTTTAATGGTACAAGACGACTTGTAGTTCTACTTGTGCGTTCTTAAATCAAGTACAGCTATTTCAAATATACTGAATCAATATGTTGGTCATGATATCATAAGCAAGCATTTAATATGACATTGTGTACTATAATATTCTTCCTCGCTGTGCACCATACATGCAGGTGATTCATAGTATTCAACGTTCTTTGAAATATAACTGCATATATTAATTATATGTACATATAACTAACGTGTCTAGTGCTCGAGTCCAAACGAATATAGGTTTCTTGGATAATAAAAATTCCAAAAAACAAGCAGGTTCACTTTTGTTTGGAAGTTTATATCAGATAGGCTCCTTGTACCAGTAAAAAAGATAGATTTGAGTAAGACTTTTGGCGCCAATTAGCTTATCAACCCCTAGGCATTTTCATCATCATTTGTGGACCTGTAAAACCATCTTTTCATAAAATCCTTTAATCTGAAAATTCAGTGAATATAATTGACGAGATTTATCGTCTTCGACAGTTTGGAAAACCGGTATAACCAGCTTTACAAGTATCACAAGTACGTCCAATCACGTTAGTTTTACATTGGCATTGTCCACTATATGATTGACACCATTCATTCAGTGATCCATCTTTGTTGCATTCACATGGCGTTCCTCCCCGGTTAAACCGTGTTGCTAGCGTGAATACAGAATCTAGACAAAACTTCGATGCCGATGATTTGATGAAGAAGTGATTTTTAGCGCATTTGTTTATGAATTCTGGAGCCATGTCCACTTGGTCGGCTTCAAGGAGAGATGGAAGGAACGAGTGTGTGGGAACCAGAAGKAGATAGTCCTGAAAAAAGACTTGAGATTAGAATCTGTTTTAAAGAGGAATGACTCGTTAATTTATGATATGCAGCTTGTTTTTATTGTTTAAAATTTGAAAAATATGCGGATTTAGAAAATATCTAATATACTCGTAGGTATATATATATAGGTAGGGGAACGCTTGTGAATTTGAAAATAACTAATACAAGTCATTGAACGGGCGAACAGTTAACAAAGAAGCGATTACGGAATCAAAAATAATTCATACGTGAGTTTATGAGCAAATCCCCAAAGAAAACTTTGCGGATTCAAAAACAACCCATAATTTAATAGAAAGAATTTGCGCCGGAATTCAAAAATAACTCATCAGTGCGGATGGTTAAATCAMAAATTTTAAATTACGAATAACAAACTTGATCTTGAACAGATTGTGTGCAATTAAAATGGCATCAAAGCTCAAAGAATAGTGGAGATTTGGAGATTTCCCCTTCTAAAATTATGAACAAAGATGGGATTAAGAAAAACGGGACTCTCGCTTTAAATGGAAAACACCTTCTTCATGAACACCGCAATTGGCCATCATCAAATTGAAGTTTTATGACACTAGATTGTCTGACTTATGAATTCATGTATTGAATTGAAATTATTCCTTCGCCACTTCTTTCTCATTTCTTCCTATGCAAAATTCAAATGCAAGAAGTAAAGGAGACACCTGGTGGTCTGTATATTTTGAATAAATCGAAAACAACATCAAGCTTGATCTTGAACAGATTGCGTGCAATTAAAAACAGCATCAAAGCTCAAARAACAGTGGAGATTTCCACTTCCAGAATTAKGAACAAAGATGGGATTGAGAAAAACGGGACTCTCGCTTTRAATGGAMARCACCTTCTTCATGAACACCGCAWTTGRCCATCATCAAATTRAAGTTTTAAGACACTAGATTGYCTGACTTATGAATTCTTGTATTGAATTGAAAATATTCCTTCGCCACYTCTTTCTCATTTCTTCCTATGCAAAATTCAAATAGGCAAGAAAAGACTAAATACAAATCCAAAACAAAGGGAACACCTGGTGGTCCGTATATTTCGAATAGATCAAAAACAACATCAAGCTTTAACTAGCGAATTGAGTCCTTGGTATATGTCAAATTTAAAAATGTAAATTGAAAAGGGGAAAAGAAATGAAGTCAAAACTGTCATYATTACGAGCGTMTTCCTCTCCGCGCTGTTACACATGAATTCAACATATGTATGYCGACAAATYTCAATTTTGTAATAAAACTTTTAAATTGGATAAATATTCGAGATTTTTTGAGGAAATTTTTTTAATGAATATATAGAGATCAAATCAAATGTTCCTATTCGTGGGTATGGTAAACGTATAAGCAACAATAAACAAAAGTCACAATATTTACCTAAATAAACTATTAAAAAATACTGCAAACAAAAAGATTATAAAAGACACAAAATATTATCAAATCTTAACAAAACCAAATCTGCGGATTTTTATGTTCTATCCAAGAGAAACTCCTACCAAGCATCAAGAGCTTGACTGTTACAATAAACTGTTTTCGTTTTAGTTACTAATCTACTGTAAATRCACAAGCTACTATAGCTAATCGTAACCAACAAGGGTAATCATTGAGGCGAATGTTATTCAACTAGAATCATTTCACTGTTTCTTTCAGGTCCATCAGAGTTCTTCAGTTTGTACTCAGAGTTTTTAAAAGTAAATCAAGACAAATTGGAGACAGATGTTGTATTATATTATATATAATAATATATATCAAGGGTTCAATACTGTTCAGTTCCCTGTAAAGCAAGCCAGCTTCTTTTTGATGCCTTGACGAATGTACGATAATTGCAATGCCATGATCATCGGGTTGATCAGAGACTGTAGATGGAGGGATGTTGAAGAGATTGTCCCCGAGAGGTACTTAAAATCGCTCATGATCGCATCTTTGCCTGCCACTGCTTGTATCACTGCTTGTATCACGAAGGGTGTGTAAAATAGGACAGACACGCCCGCCAACATGGTCATCATRAACACTCGCTTGTATTCTTGGAGTCGTTCTAATTGCCTCTGCTGTTCATCAAGTTGATTCTCGGCCTGTTGGACGGATTCTTTTTGTTGGGCGATGGTTCTCCTCTGCCTGTAAGCAGTCAGTTGGACTTTGAATGTGCAATAAAAAATGACCACAGCACTAACAACTATGACCACYATCAATGGCACTTTGTCAAGATTGGGGTAGTTTTTTAACATCAAAGTGGATCCGATAAGCGTATATATAAGGGTTCCTGTCATTGAGATCATCGAGACGATCATGACTTTTTTTCCTGTGATGTGCTTGAGGTAGAAGTTTGGGTGTTCTATGGCTAAATACCTCTCAATACTAGCAAGCGCCAAGGTGACTGTTGAAGTGACTGAGAAGGCAAAGAATAACAAAGCATACGTGGTGAATTGGCATGGGGAATGGCAATCGCCCAAGAAACATCCGACCAGCACACAGTGCATCGGTTCGACCAGCAATCCTACCAAGAAATCTGTTACTGCTAAGAAGGCCAGCAAAATGTTGAAGGCGCACGATCGCAACTGTTCATCCCAAAATACGGTCCATATGATCAATGCGTTGAGGACAACAGTTGGCGGGATGGCAATGACAGTGACAGTGACAAGGAAGATCCAAGTCGGTTGAACTGTATCTGGATAGTTCTTGTCGCTTGGATCGAAGCCTGGTATCGACAAGAAACAGATAGCATGGATACTACTAGAACTGGCGAAACTAGCAGAGTTGTTAGYCATACTGAACAAGCTTAAATGTACTTCATGCCTGACTTCAATCCAACTGATTTTCAACGGTTCGAGTAAAAATGGCCTATAAAAGCCTAATAAATACCTTTTTATTGTTGTAATCTTGTTTAGTGACTTCCGTTAATCTTACGTCAATGAAGGCATGARAGAACTTACATAACATTCAAAATGTAGTTATCTTTTGAAATAATGGACATGAACGGGACATTGGAAAATTAAGTGACCTCAACTCCAATAATGCCATTGTTTTTATTTACTATTCACATGTATCCCAAATACATAGACAAAATTCTTTTAAAATATAGAGGGATTGAATTCTCGAATCGCATTCCCCATAACTCKCAAAATAAGAGGAAATGGAGGAATGGGAGAAGAACACAACTTTTTTATACGAACCGCGTTTGTTAGAAACAAGATGATACTTGAACAGCGGGGGTTCGAATCTCGTCTTGAGCACTTTTTTTTCTTTCTTTGGTTTTAAATATAATATAGTTGTTATCGTGATTTTCTGTAGATTTTGTTTTATAATTATTTTCGAGCCATTATTTTGATTTTACGTACACAGAGTATTTTACTCGAATAGCGTCGAACTTAAGATCGCGGCCTTGATTATCGATTCATTTTTCTTTCTTTCTTTCTTTCTTTTTAACTGAAATGAAGTTGTTATAGTCATGTTGATTTTTTTCTGTAGATATCCGTTTAGCAATTATTTTCGAGCCGTTATTTTCATGGCCCCAAGATTATGTAATAGCTAAATGCGCACCATTTTCATACTCGTTCCCAGGCCCACATCCCTTCGTGTGACAACAAATATACTTCGGTCTCCGGTTAATATYATTAATTAGTTGTAAATTGTAATCAATGTATATCATATAATCGCAAAGAGATGCAGTATTATTGCCATTGTTTGAAGACACTGATAATCAATACTYTTGATGGAAACAATGTCTGAGAAAAATTACTGGGCGATTTTCGACTTCGTTGCGTGKCCGGCTCAGTTTGGAGCTGTAACATTTTTTGGTCGTTTTAGCTATGAATTCACATCGGAACTTTAACATTAAACAGAAATGCTGTTTGTACAGCAGCAATCTTCCTAAAACAGAACCGGCCCTATTAAACTTGACCGGGTCCACGTAGACTAAACGTATCCTCCTATAATATATTTTATATTAACAACCTGAATATATAAAATATCAAGTTAAAGGGCTACTTGGACGAAAATTGCGAAACATTAGAAAAGACTTGGAAATCAAATAGACCTATCCACATGGGTGTAATAATCATGAAGCAACAGATTTCAAGAAAATATTGGTGCAAATCCTTAATAATTTGGSTAAAAAATGTTGGAGTAGATGACGTCATTTACTTAATCCTTTTGTTCTTCCATCTTTTGAATCAAAATTTCTCTGATGTGGGATAATTCCAAGACAAATATTTTCCCGCAATTGTTTTTAATAGATATAAAGGTGTCATATATTTGTATTGCTTGAAGTTTTGAAATAAGACCATTTTCATGCAAGAAGCACTTTAAACCAAAGAAAATCTATCAATAACTTTTACTTCCAGTTTTTTATACGAGCAACTGTATTTGAAACTTGGCGTTCTTTTGATTCACAATAGCTCAGATCCTTTCAAATTGGTGGATTGTTTCAAGACAAACACGACTAGTGCTTTCTTTACTTCACTTTCTTTTTCAATGGTAATCAAGGATTGGCGAAGTTTCCTCTTCATTTGCCAAATAAAATTTGCCATTATAATTCAAGTGATCGCAGCATGATTCCTTCGGTAACTCGGCAAAGTAACGATTTGACATTATCTACAATGTATTTAAATATTCGATATATGTATCAGCTGTAAAAGCTGTTGCTGAGGAATGAGTATGGATGTAGTGCCTGGCCTGGGGGGGGGGGGGGGGGGGGGGGATGTTTTTCTTCGTTGGACAGGTTTGCTAACATGGGCGTTGCTCCTTAGCATTTTAGTACAACTAGTAACGAAAATGACACCCCGAACAATGCGGGATATCCCTTTTATGGGCTGTATGGCTCTCACCACTAAAAGGGAACGGCTAGTTTAAAAAAATAATGCAAGACTTCAATAATTTCTTCATTTGACTGTGTAATACTTACAATCCAAACCGCCTTATCCTGAGGAATGGTAACCGTTACTAGAAGATCAGTGTCATAGTTAATAAAAATACGGTTTTTTGCTGTTGTTCTGGTGGTTGATGTTCCAGCGCTTCTGCATCCAGACACGTGAGGGCAGTGGCGGAAATCTAGACGCGATGCTACAGCCGAGCCACTATGGCTGACTATCACACTTCCGGTGAATGACAGGAAATTGGGTTGGAAGAAATGAACTAAAATGAAGTAGCTCCCTGGTTTTGAACGAGCGTTGAGGTAAATGGTCCTCTGTAGAAAAAGGAAAGACAATTTCCATTATCTAATATCATCATTATACTATCCTTAACATTCTTGAATAGTAATATTAAAATAGCTGCTGCTGAATTAGTTTGTTACGATCTTCCTGTGTCTATGAATGCACTTTTCCAAACCGGGGACAAAAGATCAAAAGACYTTAGTGCACTCTTACCTGATTGGTTGGGATATATGCCAGTTTTATGTTTGGATCCAGTAGGTAGGCGGGTCTAGGGCTCACGTGACCGTTCTTTATTGTATTTGTGTTATTTTCAGCTTGGATTACAACTCCCCTTCCAGGGGTGGTGTAAGTCGATTGKATGCAAGAGTTCCCGTAYTTGACGCAACGAGGTGCTGGAAGTAAATACTCCTGTTCCCACTTGKCTTTGGGTATGATGGTTATAGAATCCTGTATCGTATACAAAAACGTAAATAATAACATGGAATATATGATCAGGTGGATTTCCCTATGGCACAACGACGACACGGCATATTTACATTGGGGGCTAGAGTCGGTGCAAAAAAAAGAAATAGAGTTATTGCTAAACCCTTCTTCCTTCTCTTCGAAAGTTGAACTTCAATTTAGTTTTCTCGTATATTATAAATCTATCGGTATCTGCTCGTCCATATTTTATAGTTACTTCTCAGTTTTTTCCTCTTTTTATAAATGCAGTGTTTTATTATATATATTTTTTTGGTCTTGTTCAGAGTCATGTTATTCCTTTTCTGGTAACAAAAATCTTTTGCKTGTAACGCCATTGTGAGGGTAATTCTAACCTGACATCGGAGAAAGTGTGCTTCATAGTTTATCTACRATACTTTTCTCCTTGTATGTTAACAAAATCTCCATTAACCTTTCATGTCTCCTGATTCCGCGTCCCTTAATTATGATGCTGATTATAACTATCAAGAAAATGAAGGCATACGCACCACCGCTACTGTGAGCAGCGTTGTCAAGGTTATGGTCGCTCCAGTCTTATCCAATTTTTCAAACAACTTTACTTGTTTATCGTTGGCGATTGCAACTTGTCTGCAGGCTGATGTATAACTGAAATTGATACAAGAAGAAAGCAAAGTAATCTTTGAGGTCGTAGGGAAGAGCACTATAAGGAATAATGATAGAAAGATTAAATGTCTCATGCCTAAAATCGACAACTTTCATATTTTTAAGTTAAAACTTTAGATGTCCTAGCCTGTGTACATCCGTTTCTCACACCTCCAAAAAAATCGGGGAGAGAACGTTTCCTCCCCAAATTTTCCGCGTAGGGGGGGAGGGGTGGGAAACGGATGTACACAGGCTATAGATGTTCATACCGACAGGTAAAAATGCTGAACCATCCCCGYTGGTCTTGTCTGTTTGATAACCACGTGATGTCCAAACGACCAAGATGAGGGAAGTCTTCATAGTAAAATGTAACCACAACTATATACTTCCCAGCAGGAAGACCACGTGATAGCTGCATGGTCAATACATTCTACAAATTGAAGATTTACGTAAGATAATATCACGTAACGTATAGACGTGTAATATAAAGGCGGTAAAAATTTTCTAATTAAGACCAACGGATTGCAATCTAAACGTCGTTGTACTTTAATCCAAGCCTTCCGTCGTGAGAAAAATGACTAAATATTATCCTTGAGCACTGATGATTATGATTTTGAAATAAAATCGAAATATCGCTGTTATTACGATTTTCTGTGCATAATTCAAAAGTTGAATTTTCACAGTGTGCTCTTCATTGGATTATCACTCGTCGAAATTATTCGAAATTGTCGGATGGATCTGATTATCCTTTTAACGTTCCAAGCAACCAACCAGGCAACCAAGCAACCAACCAACCAGGCAACGCAACCAAGCAACCAATCAATCAAGCAACCAAGCAACCAATCAATCAATCAAGCAACCAAGCAAGCAACCAAGCGAGCAACCAACTAAGCAACCAACCAGGCAGCTAACCAGGCAACTAACCAGGCAACCAACCGAGCAACCAATCAAGCAACTAACTAAGCTACCAAGCACCAAAGCAATCAAGCAAGCACCAAGCAAGCAACCAGGCAACCAATAATAAATCAATTAGAGCCATTCAGTCAATAATCAACAAATCAACCGCTATTCAACTGATGGTCCATAATTACTGCACCAAAGGGACATATTCTCTCACCTGATATCCGTGYAATGTAACTCCTTGAAAGGGGGGTTGTACTAGGTCAATCTCGGGTCCAGTAAAGAATGATTTCTCTGTTTGTATGGTCACGAACCCATCACTATTCATTGAAGAATGTTCGTATTGTAAACAGTACTCATCCGATGGTCCTCCAACCTGACATTTGTTCGCTACATCTTTCCGTAATACAGTTGGTTTGTAGTAATCTTCTGGTAGAAGTACAACATGGTCCTGTTGGATAAGAATGGATAAATGGAATGAAATGAGTGGTCAATACAYGTACGTGATCTTTGCCAATGTGGTCCTGTAACAAACGATAAATCACATCGCAACTACCCAYGTTCGAGTTTACGTAATAGATGCCACGCCTCCGCCGTGTGTAAATGATCGCATAGGGGAAAGAATGAAAGAAAGTGTAAAAAACATATTAACGATTGTATATAAAACAAATCCACGGATAGAGGGATTAGATCATGATTTACCAAGTAGACATAAGAAGGACGGGCAGCCAAGGATAATTTCCACTTTCCTCGGCTTAATRAAACCTCAACTGGACGCTTTTGGCTGTCGAGAACTGTTAGAAACTGGGGATCRCTGCTACTCCAAGAAACCGTAGGTTTGAAGCGAACACCGACTTGAAAAGGTTTTGGAGGCCCTGATGGTAAGTAGCCTGGAAAAAAAGAGTGAACATAAAAACCACATAGGGCCTTGTATCAAAGAATGTACTGCTAAACGCCTTCTTAAATTGACCAATAACTGGCATGATTGGSTTTTGTCGCTTTGTGCAACCCAGTCAACCGTTTTCAAGACGGGAGCACGACGTGGATATTTGTATTCGGCAGGAGACATAAAAAAACTGTTTTAACAAAACAGGCTGCTGAAGATTCTCTTTCAGGGATATTGAATGCTATTTATCGAGCTTAAAAGCAAACAACATTSAACATATTTTAATAATGATTTAGCTATTAAGCAATCGAGCATTTTTAATGTAATATGGAAGCTTTTTCTCGGTTTGTACCAATAAAAGCAGGGATATATGAGAATAAAAAATCAACTTTGAACAAAACATTCTGTGCACTTGGTCGAATTCTCTACTTGCGCATACCCATAATACTTTCTGATTTTGGGGGGTAGTTATTGTTATTGAAATCATTTATATTTGAATAACAATTAATTTTATTTGCATCACAAAACCTACCCCCCAAAATCAGAAGGTATTATGGGTCACGTGAAAGTAGAGAATATGTTATTACAGATGCTTCTGCTAGTTTCTCATAGATTATGTTTGTCTTACCGGACTGGGAGGTTGGATCAAACTTAAGCAGCACGTCTACAGGTTGACTCCCTGCAAGGCTGTAATGGAAGATAAGTCGGTATCGCGTCGTCCTTGGTACTTGGGTGGTCAAGAAGATACGAGTCTAAGTAAATCAATGAATATTATCAATGAATTAGGCAATCTCCTCAACAAATCAACAATAAAAGGGAATGGTGAGATTTTACAATAAACAAGCTCAATCGTCCCGCCAAGAACTACGATGAAGTATTCATCATTGCATACAACAGAGAAAACACAATGGGAATGAGTTTTTGAATGGTTGAATGGATGAGCAAAGGAACGAATGAATTAAAGGAATTCTTACCTCACCATGCCGGAATGAGAGCATGTGCTAAAAATTCCCGAAGGCGAAAAAYTATAACCCGGCATTGATAAATACATCTGCATGTATGGTACATTATCAATATGCTTACTATATAAACTATCGACGCCTCCCYTAAACCTATTTCGTTTTGTTCAAACGAACCTGATACTTATTTAGTTCCGTATATCCTTTCCAWGTAAAGCCAGGAAATATTYYTTCGCTATCACGGATAACAACAGGCTTTCCCTTCTCATTTGTAGCGTCTTCAAGCTCAATCTTGATGTGATGCAAATCGTAGTAGAAGAATCTGTATGGTATTACACTATTTGTAAAAAATAATAACATTAAAAAACCTGTCATCAGTAACAATGCATTTCTCTTACGTACACTAGAGATAGCTTGCAGATCGAACAAATTTCCAGGATAGATAAGGTGTGCTTAGCTAATAAGGGACATTTGAATATCTGTTCGAGTCAACGTATGGCTGATAGAAAGATTCTAGTCAACCTGGCCGTTGAAAAGTCAGTGACAAGTCAAATCCTTTTCTTTAAAAGGTAAAGAAAGAGAGAAATAAGGGGAGGGGGAGGGGGAGGGGGTAAGGTAGAATTTACGCTATGTTCCCGCGGTGGTTGGAATAAGATGAGAAAACATGKAGTGTTTACCTATCGCACGTTCTGCCAGCAATACCAGGAAGACATATACATTGTCCAGTCACGCCATCACAGTATGAACCAAACGACCCACCAGAGTTACAGGAACATTCTGAAAACATTAGAACTTTGGTTATCATTGATATAGCATCAATTAATAATGTTATGCGCAGTTCAGCGCGGCAAACTCTCGTCTTCCTTTGAGAAAGAAATGACTTCAGTAAAATTAAAAGTTTTAAAAACATTTTTTCCCTATTATTAATTAATTTGAATAAGGAGATAAACGGCGCCAACGTTAGGTTTTTTTCCTTTCGGTTCCATTTCGTTACTATATCTTACTTGTACATCCAAATATGTCCCATTCCACTAGGTTGAAGTARCCTCGTTTACATCTTGAACACACACGTCCAGTCACGTGCTGTTTGCACACGCAGTCGCCATTGACTTTATTACACGTGCTTATACTACCCAGAGTTCCATTCGTGTTACACTGACACGGTTGGCAGCCTGCTGGATCAAATGCACTCAAACCAAAATAAAGATCTTTGCATTCTTCACATTGATCTCCCTGCACGTTTGCTTTGCATGAACAAGATTGCTGTAAAAATTAGAGCAGAACATAATAAACAAAATTGAGTTAGTGACTTGATGACTTCCACAATGTGATTCAAGTTATCCATATATGCGGTCTTCCACTGGGCAAAAAAGAAAATACGCTTTCTTAATATACTCTTTAGCGTCGAGAAAACATTATTTCATTTTATCAAATAGGTCTATTTGTTAAGGTGATGCATTACTTTTTGCTAAATCATTTCAGTGATGAAAGCGGACTCAAAGAAGGAGACGGAAGCATAAAAGGAAAGTGCGCAAAAAAATCATCGGCACAGCTAAAACTTGTCTGATAATATGTACTCACATCATTGGAACTGCCGCAAGTATTCTCTTGACCAGGTAAAACTAGCATTCCCGCAGGGTTGCAGTTACATTGCTTGCATGTAGGGAAGTCAAAATAGCCAATTCTACATCGGTCGCATTTCACACCGCCAAAGTTACGTCTACACTGACACTGACCTCCTCTCTGACTACAAAACATACTCAATGAACCGTGGTCGTTGCAGCTACACTCTGAAAATAAATGGAGTTATTAAATTGAATTAAAATTACACAACTGAGCAGAACGAAACACAACAGAGCAGTAGAAGAGATGGGAGTAGGATGGGAAAAATGATAGGATAATATAAAAATAAGATAAAAGTATATAAAAGAGTAGAATGGACAATATATTAGCAATTTATGCTTCTTACTTTTACATTGAGGATATGCAAAGTAAGCAGATGATTGACAGCGGTTGCATTTRCTACCACCAAACCCTGGTAAGCACGTGCACTTTCCATTGACGTCACATTCTTGTGATGCTGAACCAGATTTCGAACATGAGCATTCTGTTTATCAATATCAGAAGTAGGGAATTAGTGTACGTTATATAGAGAAATAGACAAGAGGCTGTATGCACCGTTTGCGGTTCTAAGCTTCCGACCTAAGTACTTGTAAGCGCCCTCTCATGGTATATAATGAGACATGTGTTACAAAAAGTCCCTTCTCCTGCTATCGAGTTAACTAAGTCATAAAATATAGGACAAACCTACTGAACTCGTAATGTTATACTGTATTTATGCCAAAATGAGAAAACATGTAGTTAATATTTTTCGATAGAATGTACTGATAGAGCTGTAATGGTGATGGGCAAAATGCCTTTTTTTAAGAATTGGAAGGAATCAATAAAACGCGCGGACGCCTTTGAATCGTGAAGCTGATCGTGCGTCAAGACCGAAAAACTCAAGCATTAACATACATGAGGAAATCAAGATGAAATTAATATCAAAGTCTTGCGAGGCCAAAATACTAAATATATCGAAGCCTTTGAATCGGTCGCAGGCGTGAACATTAAAGTAAAGGCGTTTTCTTTCTCGCTTCATTCTCCTACCCAGCCAAAAGCCTATAGTTTTGCAAATCAGAGGAACTGCCCATGCAAGCGCTTCATTTTTCTAAGAAAGTACTATTAATAAATCACCTTTGAATAACAGTACAATAATATACTCACTTCGRCATTGAGGAAATCCTGAATATCCAACAGGGCAACGATCACATCTCCTTCCTACAACATTACGTCTACACATGCACTGACCTCCAAAAGACTTGCATCTCAAACTAATAGAACCCCGTGGATCACAATTACACTTAGGAATGTATCCAAGAAAAGATAAAGTCATGGTAAATATGCCACTAAGGCAAACCAAATGTTGCCTTTGATTAGGATTAGTATAGAAATTTCTTTTGCTACACTTTTTAAGGAATTCTTCGATTTTGTGCCCTGGGAATGGTTTCATCACTTCGAGAGAGAGAGAATTCTGTTTCACCAATAAAACGCTTTCCTGGAAAAAGAAGAAGTAAAAAAGTGAGCATGTATTTTTGAATTCATTGAAATGATGTCTGAAATGTCTGAAAATCATGAAAGAAAAATAATATAGAAAGTCAAAAAAGGTAGAAAGAAAACGAAAAATGGGAAAGGATAAAAAATTATAGAAGTACTCTACGAAATGCCTCTCATTTCTATATCTATTACTTACAATTTGAACTTCCCTGGGAAAATCCAGCATTACTGACGCCACACCTTTTAGATATGACATYGTGCCTACATTWAGTGCATTSACTTTTATTCTGCAACCGTCAACCGCTGGACAATAMGTTAGTGTGACGTACATGGTCAGCGGTGCACCATTAGTGAAGAGACGCACTTGTCCTTTAGATTCTAAGTAAGCTGTAAGTTTGTAATGTATCAAGATATGATATTTGCCGTCTTCCTCTACGTTACCATTGACGATTGCCTAGAATAGATTAGATATTTGATAAGGCTGGTTCTACGAGGTTGTGAAAAGATGTTTGCGCTCATATGAATTATTATGTCATGAAAATTGTRCTTTTGATTTCTCTGTTTTGTTATAACAGATGTAGATAGTTGACAAATGCGCAACAAAGATTCTAAAAATTAACCATAAAAAGGTAATAGATAATAAATATTGATTGATTATTACCGTTTTGTCACCACGAGGCCGTGGTTTTTGTGGCACTAGAATACCCGTCCCTCTYGGTGTCGAATACAAGGTCTTGACACATTTATGTCGGTAGTAATAGCAGTGGAAGAAAGGAGTAACGTGAGTAGCGTTCCATTTKGACTCCTCAAGCACTGTAATTGAGATCTGTCCAAAAATATGCAAAAAATGTCATTAGGGTAATAGGAGTTCATTTTGCATGAGTACTACATGGATTATGACGTGAGATTAAGTAACATTTTCACTAATCATGTCTTGCAATATTCACCCAGGTGCACTATGGGAYTGACGTAAAATACATATAATGTAGCCATGTAGTTATGTTGTTGCTGTGCTGTAAAACCTTYTTAGACAGGTCTTTCATTGTATTCTAGAAATCAGCGCTCTTTTTTAACTCGTATTTATTGACAACGGATAACATTAAAGGCCAAAGTACATCTTAGAACGCGATATTCTCACATACGAACTGAATCGCCTTTGAGTTTGAACCAATCAGAAAGCAACTTTCAACAGCATCCGCCATCTTGATACTTTCCTCAGTACCATGATGCACTTCGCTGAAGCAATCATGTCTCTAATTAGCGGGCTAGCTGTGCTAGCCAGCTATAGTTTTAC